ACGGCGATCCTTCACTGTGGCCTCCCCGCTCTTCTGAGGGATGAATGGGTCAGAGGAAGAACAGCTGTATCCCCAATCCAGGAACTAAGCAGCGAGAGGCACTGCCCAGCAGCATAGAGCAGCCAACAGAAGCAGAGTTCATCCAAAAACAGGTCTCTGGCCAGGGGCTCCCAAGCTGGGTTGAGGTGCCGGAGGGATGAACGTGTGTGAGTCTCCCTGGTGTCCACATCCCAGCGGCTGTCTTTCACCAGCCCCAGGCATTTGAGGACCCTGGAGGATTTGCCCCCGCTACCTTCTTCTAATCTCATCATTTTGCAGAGAGAATGATTCAATTCAATGTCTAAGGTGTCAGAAAGGTAGAGCTGGAACACGTTTCCTGAATCTCAGCCAAAACAGCATTAGGTGCTAGGCGGTGGTGCGCATGCCTTTAATCCTGGCACTAGGGAGGCAGAGGCAGGTGGATCTCGGTAAGTTCGAAGCCAGCCTGGTCTACAGAGCGAGTTCCAGGATAGCCTGGGCTGCACAGAGAAACCCTGTCTTGACAAAACAAAATGTAAAAACAAAACAAAACAAAAACCCTCTCCAAACAAGCATGATGCTAATATACAGATGGTTAGGATTAGAGCAAAAGCATTAGCAATTGAAGTCAGGGATTGCTTATCTAGATTCTAGAACATCAGGCTAGCTCTTGATTTTAGTTGTGCCCACAGATCTCCATGAGTCCTAGAACAAAGCTTGCTTTCCTGAAGGAGTTGCAGGTCATCTGTGAAACCGATAACGGTCTGTACCATCCTGCATTAAGCATGTGTGCTTCCAATGGAGGAGGTATACCAGAACTTTCATTTGTTTTCAAGAGCAGCTCAAAGGGCATGTGGATACATGTCTGTGATTCTAGCACTAGGGAGGGGGAGGAAAGAGGGGCAGGAATTCAAGGCTAGTCTAGAGTACACAGTGAGCTCAAGGCTAGCCTGGAATACATGAGATCCTGTCTCATAGACCAGCCAGTTAAACAACCAACCGAATAACCAATGAATCTGTGATCATCCCAAGTAAGAAGCAGTGGACTTGGGCAAGTGAATGAAAGGGAAGACGTTTGGGAAGGGGATGCTTATGCTCCCATGTTGACAGCAAGAAACTTGTTCTGGAGGTGGATGCATGTTCTTTATTAGCTGACCTGGGTTATGGAGGTGGACTGCCCAAAGTAAACACAAAAGCTGCACAGTGTCTGTGAATGCAGCGCTTGCTAGGCTGATAAAAACAAGACTATGTTCCACTGCTTTGACTTTAGATCCATATATGCATATGATACACGTATATTTTTTTTTCTCGAGGTACATGTAGCCCTTGCTCTGTAAACCAAAACCCAGACTCAAATGCCTTGAATAATTTTGGGTTGGGGGATTAGTTCTGTCTGCATATAGTCCCCTCAGAAAACAGTGGTGGGTGAGAGATGTAATGACTACTGACAGAGGCCGGCGGCTTCTTTCAATTCAGCGGGAGGCTCTGGGGGCCAAGAGCTCATCTTTGTAACTGTGGCAATTAAGACAAACGCTAAAAATTCTTTCTGCCCTGGGTGCTGTCAGACGAAAACTGATGGAATCCTGAAGGTGGAGTGAATGGGACACTCATTATCTGTTCCAGGAAGGGTTCCCTCGAGGCTCGGGGACGGCAGAGGATGGTCCTACTCTGAATTATCTTCATGTGTGTGGACCGATAAGCCGTAGGCTGGAAAGGAGTCTCAATTTGAGGGAAAGCCTCAGAGGGTTAGCATGACATACTTGGGAAACAGTATTATACAGTATTTTGAAATAATAGTCAATATTTATCTGAGCATTACTTTTCTAATGGAATAGAATCTAGAGTTTCCTGAGGCTGGGAGATCATCATCATAGGAGAAATGAGGAGTGACCCTGGGGTTTATTCTCCAAGAATGCTACACAGGCTCATTCCACATTCCCAATCTGTGATAGGAACACCATCATTACACTCAGAGGTCAGTACGAGGAATGAGAAAATCATGATCTGTGCCAGAGGTTTAAATGTGAAGAGGCACCAGGCCAAGGAGGTGCATATACATTAATCCAGCTGTGGCATGAATGTAATTATGGGTTTAGACCAGCCACAGAGCCAGGCCAGAAGCTTCTCTTTAGGGAAATGAGTATGAAGGTAATTAGAATGAAAAAAAAAATCCAAGGAAAGACACTTTATTAAAACAACAACAAACTCCTGAATAGAATCAAGTGTCTGCCATTCAAGGCCCCCAAGCATCCATAAAACAGAGGTGGCCAAGGAGGGAGGAAGCAGCCACATGCATCTTTATAAACTCGGTGTTAGCACTGAGCTGCATGGGCATAGCAGGGTGAGTCCCGCCCAGGATCCCTGACCTGGAAGAGCTCTGGGTTCATATGATTTATAATCCTCTGGGACAAGGATCTTCAGAGAGAATTTCACAAGCACAGAACATATTTCTTCTCCCTTGACCCTGCTGTCTAGTGTTCCTCTGGTATTGTTGAATTGTGTGGCTGATCTTTTTGAAGAATGTTGTCAGCAGAGCGTTAGGTTCTGCTGCCTTGACTGCATCAGGAAAAATGGCCTCCTGAATCTTTCAGACCAACTGGTTCTGCTTAGAGTAGAGTGGATGGAGACAACCCGGAGAGCAGGAAGCAAGTCATACTTGTCCTGCCAAGTGCAATACCCATGCCCTGCGCACAGTAGGCCTGTCACTAGCTCAACTCAATTGGCCGCTTTATCTAGCCATCACTGTTTTCTGGTCTGCACTGTTTCTGAGTAGGAGCCAGCAGTCCTGACACTCACGGGCTTTTGAGCAATCGCCTGTTGAGCCTATGATCCCATTAGTGAAAGTGACTAAATGGCTAAATGTAGCACAAAATTATCCTGTGAGAGATGAACATTGGCAAGCCCCTGTCAAGACATCAGCAAGAAACCAAGAAAAGTTATCATGGCCCCAGATTTTGAAAAGCATGAACATACCCAAAGAAAAACAAGAGTAGATGATAATCTCCATGTCTGTGATAAAAAAACAGGACTGTTATGAACACTAAGCATCTACATTCAAGAATCTCAGCCATATTAGTAACGCCCCAGAGAGAAGAACAGATTCCATGGCTAAAATAATTAGATGCCTGAAGATAACGGGCATTATCTCTGAGGGAAATACAAGTTTGTATATCAAAATGTCTCATACACGTTATCCTTACAGGATGTGACTTGTAATTACTCCAGGAAGTAAATTTCGATTGAAATTCAAGGTATGCATATTAAGTATATAAGCTGAGACAAATATGGTTTAAAAGGAATAACTTTTCTTTATTAGTAAATAGAGCTTTGAAAAGTAGTTAGGGCAAATAAAAGAAAGTTAATGGTGATGGTGAGAACACAGGCTGTGAAGAAATTCCCGAGACGCCCCACTCATGTTTTGTCTCCCTGGAAGAGAAAGTGAGTTGGGGAAGAACCGGCTGGCTCTGGATCCATGGTGACCGGCTGGTAAGATTCAGTCAGGGGATGACAGAGGAAAATCCCTAGCTGAGGTAACCTCCAAGTGAGGAGCCTGGGCAATGCTACAGAGTACTTTTATTTGAGGAGGACAGAATATCTCTTACAAGAAAGCCAGACAGACTAGAGCTAAGTGGTGTACATAAAGGCACTTTCATGCATTAGGCCGTCATAACTCAAAGACAGATTTAAATCTAGTATATGAGCAATTCTGTAAGTTAGTAGGCCAGAGGCTTAGAGTAAATAAACAGCCATCAGGAAAATATTCAGCTATTTGGAGAATGACTCAGTTTGTACCTCCCAACATGCTAACCCCACAAAATAAATTCTAGCAGTTGGAACAGCCATCTAAATAGAGACAACAGGGTCCTTCCATAAGTGAATCAAGATGGACATCAGATAAATAATTCACACCCACCCCTTCGGTGCTGAATATCAAAGCTAAGACTAAGACCTCACTCTATCACTGACCTACGGCTCTGGTTCTATGACTTTTTTTTTAGTACAGGGGTTTGAACCCAGAGCGCTGCACATGTTAGGCAAAACCCAGTGAGTTACATTCATAGGCCTCTTGAGAGTTTGTTTGCGTATGTATGTATGTATGTATGTATGTATGTATGTATGTATGTATGCATGCATGCATGTATGTATGTATGTATGTATGTATTCTCCCTAAATTGCCCAAGCAGACCTTAAGCTTGCTATATTTTGGCTTTTGCCTCTAAAGTAGCTGGGATTATTGGCATGCAACACCTACCTGATTGTCATTGACTGACTTTGTATACAGAGACGGTGGCTTCAAATTATGAATAGCATTTAAAACTGATTGTTGGGACTCACTTTAAAGTCTCTGCTAACAAATCCATCTCAGCTTGTGAACCCTGAGACTCTAGAGAATGAATGAACCAGCCTAACATTTGTAATTCTTTCCTTCCTTCCTTCCTTCCTTCCTTCCTTCCTTCCTTCCTTCCTTCCTTCCTTCCTTCCTTCCTTCCTTCCTTCCTTGTTTTTGAGACAGGGTTTCTCTATGTAGCTTTGGAGCCTGTCCAGGCACTCACTTTGTAGACTAGGTTGGCCTTGAACTAACAGAGATCCACCTGCCTCTGCCTCCCGAGTGCTGGGATTAAAGTTGTGTGCTACCACTGCCCAGCAGCATTCGTAATTTCTAAATTTAAAAAAAAAAACAAACCAAAAAACCAGTTTGGAACTTCTAAAGATTAAAAACGCAAGATGGAGCTGGAGAGAGAGCTCAGCAGCTAAGAGGCATCCTTCCTCTCTTCCAGAGACCCAATTTCTCTGTTCCTAGCACCCAATTGCCTGTAATTCCGGCTTCAGGAGGATCCAGTACCTGTGGCCTCCCTGGGTACCTGCACACATGTGCACATATTTGCCCTCATATATACACATAATTAAAATAAAATCACTAAACGATAGCATTAAGAGAAATTCACTTTTGTTGCAATTGGACACTATTGGGGAGGACTTACCTGCAGCAAATGACAGCTTTGCAGGACAAAGCTAAGTCCAGGAAACACTGCCGGACTCCGAAGGTTAAGGCATATTTGAGGGTTTTCCCATCGATTATAAGAGCAAAATCATTTTCCTTCCGAAGGGCATCTCCAAGGGTGGTGCAGTGCCGACTGAGAGTTTCCCTGGTCCCCTGAAACATCAACCAAGGCCGTCAACATTCATTCCATTTCTTCTACTACAATGTCTTCAAGACATTTAGTCACTAAGTTTAGTTATTTTTAGTGCTTTAAAAAACTCTTTCAAATGGCTTTCACAAACCTTCATTCATTCAGTTCTCACAAGAGCCCCACTAGAAGGGAACCGACAAGGTTATCAGTTAAACTCTGTGGAAGTTATATACCTGTCCACAGCAGGGCAGAGACTGGACCATGGCCCGCTTAGTCTTCCATGACTGAAGATCATTACTCTAACCGCACAACCACAAAACTACAAACGCATTTTCAGTAAATTCTCTTCTTAAGAAAAAGAACAACACTGATCTAATTTATGAACTAGTCTAAATTGGTTTGCCGTGAACCAAGGGAAAAAGTTGGGGAATATGATTTAAATAATTTATGAGTGTTCTTTTGAGAATACTCAGTGCTATTGAAATTTAATGCCCAGGAACCTTGAGGAAATACAGGGTTTGTAATCTCCTGTAACTTTATGAATTGGCTTCTGTGGCTTCAATCACAGATTCAGGATGCTGTATGATAGCGGGAGATGGAGACATGCAGCTTGGTAATTGTGATGGATCCAATACCAAGAACCTTTCCGTCAACCAGAAGTTCACTCTTAGGCAGAGTGAAAACCTGCAGCAGCAGGGAAAGCCTTACTCATTTAAACTGCATCAGAACAGGTGCACGTGTCTTTCATCAAGGACCACTTGCCCAGCTCCTCAAAGGGAAAAAGTAAACACCACCAACACCACCCCACCACCAACAAAAAAACCAAAATAAAATGATCATTTCCTATACCCAGTTTTCTTCCTCAAATTTTAAAGACTCTTCCGGCAACATAATGGATCTGTCCAGTTCCTGTTCTAAAGAGCCCTGGGACTGAAGAAACATAACACTCATTCTACACAAGGAAACAGAAATTAAAGTTCTGGCATGAGTGCTAAAGCTACAATTATTCACACAAATAAAATACAGTCAGACATAATATGCTTATAGAATACTTCGTGTTCATTATATTCAAAACAGAGTTACTTGTGATGGCTTATTTTGATTGTCAACACTGTTACACTAAGCAACACCCGAGTGTGGCTGGGTTTGCAGAGACAGTCGGGTCATGAGCACTCTGAGCTAATGAACACATTCATGCCTTGACAGGTTTGTAGTATGGCGGTGCTGCTGGAATGCCACAGAGTGAGAGGCACCAGGCTGGGGCCTGGGCGCTGTCTTATCTGGGTCTGTTCCACTATCTGCTTTTCTCTGCTTCCTGCCCACTGTGCTGGTCCTTTCACCTTGCCCGCAGAAAGAAATGAACTCGGGAAACTGCGAGCAAAATGAACTGCTTCTCATCTCAAGTTCTCTAGTTGGGTATTTTGGTCACAGAAATAAGAAAAGTAATTGATAACTTTATTCCTATAATTTAAGGACGTGGCCCAATCATTTCATAGTTATTTCACGGTGAGGGAAGCGATAAGGAGATGAAAATTTCACATCAGAGATATTTGAGGGTGTCAGTGTTAAGACAGACTGTTCAAGCTCCTTGCTCAAGAATACATTTACAAAGTAACATCAGCTCAGAACTAAGTTTCCGCTCTGGCTGGTCTTTCTCTGCACACCCCAGGAAAAAGAACCCAAAGGCCAGGAGCTCCCGGCAGAGAGTAGCACAAGGAACAAGCACAAGGCCACAGCATTCCCTCTGTTGTTTCCCGGGAGCCTCCACAGCCCTTCATATCACCTGTTTATACAGCAGAGGTAAAGCACAAAGCAGGTCTCTTCTCATTCTTCCGTCTCTGCAGGGCTTCCAGAGACCAACCCACTAGAGTCTAACCCTTACACAGTATCGAACCTCCCCACAGTCGGAGCCTGAGGAGCTTTCCCCACAGGCTTGACTCTTGCATGTCTCTCTCTCCACAGTGTCTTTCCTGTCAGAGCAAGCTGACCTAGCAGGCTCCCAAGCTGCCCAGTGCAGGTAAGCCTATGTTAACAAAGCTCTCAACTCCTTCTGGGGAAGTGTCCAGGGCTGAACCCCTGGCCACAACATGTATAGAGCCTATAATATTACACACTCAGAATGACAGCAGTGATAAATAATGACAGCATTCCATTGGCAACAGTCCATTTATTACACACACACACACACACACACACACACACACACACACACACACACAAGAATTTCAAATAAAGATTTATGGCCAGTATGTGTGTGTGGTTTGTGTGTTGCTCAAGTGACACCTGAGCCGAAAACCTGAAACAAAACCTACAAAGGACCCCTGGAAGACTTCAGATTTCTTTGGGGGATCAGCTGTGAGTGAAGAGGAAGTCATCACCAGCATTGTGGAATGCCCACACTCCCCAGATGGTGGGAGAAGCCCCGGTGCCCTACTTTCCTTTTCTAAGGTCTTCTCTGACACCTTCAAATTGGCTGAAAACTCTCTTATTTGTGGCATCAGTACCTCTGTGCTCCCTTGGTGACTTAGCAAAGGCTGTCAGCAAATCCAGAGGTGTCGGGAGATGTAAGAGGCAAACTTTCAGGAGGGGTGAATTCTCAGCAGCCCACCTAGGGTGTGAGGTGACACCAACAGCAAGCTGTGAACTCCCTTTTTAGTTCCCAGTGTCCTTGTGTGGACAGGGAGCAGCCCTGTTGCTGGCTGTGTGCTGCTAGTTACGGCTTACAGCTTATCCTTATTTACTGTTGGGACTGTCTTAAAATGCTCTTCTTTATGGAACATCACTGCATTTTCTCCAAGCCTGGGAGCTGTACTTTATGGCCACGTTGCACTGAAGCTTATCTCCTGTGGCTATAGATAAATTTATTACTGGATTAGTTGCCACTGTGTTTACTCGTTGGCTACTGGAGGGGGAAATGTTTAAACATTTCAACGTAGTGAGTTGTGAAAGGGAAAACACATAAAGGAGAAGCTAAGTTAGAAAAAAGGCTGTACAGGGCGGAGCAATAAAAGGCCTGGGCTATATTCTGCCTGTTGTTATTGGTAAGCTGGATGAAGAGGGGCATCGGGGATGCGCTGAAGTTAAGGCAGTTTGTGGAAACAGACAGACGTACAGACAGAAGAAAGGTCACAGTACTGGTTACCAGCCAACAAGGGAAAAGTAGGGTTGACAAGACTGTGACATTTCCTATGGTGATTCTCCTCCCAAGTCCCCCCTCCCGGGACCCAGCGTCTTCTACACCCATGTACTCAAAGACAGCACTCAAGGCCACCAGTGCTTACAGGAAGTCCTGCCTGACCCTCTTGCCCCATGCTCTCCTCTTTGCAACGTTACAGCGTTGCTACAACAAACACTGTTTCTCAGTGCTGCGTAGCACACAAACTAGAGTCACCTGGGGAGAGGGACCCTCCAGTGAAGAATGACCTCCATCAGGTTGGCCTTTGAGCACGTCTGTGGGTTGGTGTCACTCCTGAGCGGTCCTGGGTTGTGTTTAAAAACAGCAAGCTTATCAAGCCTTACAGAGTAAGCAGTGCTTTCTGTGCCAGTCCCTGCCTCCAGGCTCCTGTCTCAGCTCCTGCCCTGACTTCTCTTGATGATGGACTCTAACCTGTAGGATGCAATGAACACTTTCCACCTCAGGCTGGTGTGGGTCAGTGTTTCATCACAGCAATAGATGGTGAAAACAGCACAGTCAGCAACACAGAAATGCCGATTGCGTTTCCCAGGAGGCTATTCCACATCTCCTCTCTTCTCCTCCTGGTTAAAACCTGACTCATAAACATCTGTGAGCTCCATTCTTCCCCTGAGCAGTGTTCCTGGCCCCCGTGGCCCCATGGCTATTTAGGCCCAAATACACGAAAGGCCAAGGTTTACGTATTCTAAAAACAATGAATAAATAATCTAAAAAATATTCTCATGACCCTACTTGCCCCCCCCCAGTCCTCTAGGTAACAAGAATGCTTCCACTTTTCAGGCCCCCTAAATACTCTGCTTATGCAACACAGCATGCTGTGACAGAGCGTAGTTTATACCCCAGCCTTCCTCTAGTGACTGGAGCCTGTGATGAGGAGGCCACAGAGAAGATAATTGTTAGTGACAATAGAACTCCTTGTGGGAAGTTAAAATGGCTCACTCCAGTGACCCCTGGGGAGGTTCCTCTGCTGCCTCTAAAAGCTTCAAGAATCTTGAGTACCCTCAATTAGAAAGAAGAAAATGTTACTGTTTCTCTTCTGAGAAAAGAAATAAGGAACAAAATAATTAATGACAACCCAACATCTGCTTCTGCATCAAATATCAGTGGCTGACCAGTGAATTCGATAAGACGAGCACCCAGGCTACATCCCTGGTGATCAAGCCAAGGTGTGCCGCTGTAGGCCAGCGCAGAGGAAATGGTACTTTAATTGGTTTATGGGGAACCCAGGGCGCCAGAGAGGGAGGGAGAGTGGGAGGAGTCATGCTGAGGAAGAAGGCAATTAGGGTAAGCAGAATTCTTCACAACAGCAATGAGACCAGGGGCCTTCCCAAACTTAGAGCACAAGCGGCCAAACAGACAGCACGTTCACAAAACACACTCCAATGAAAAACTTACACAACACAACGGCAATCTTTTACAGATCCAGAGCCTGGCAGCTTTATAGGAATCTTTTGCATTACGTTTATATGACCTGCAGCAGGGAAACGCTTGATAAAGATCATAGAAGGTGCCCCAAACAATGAAATCGGATATGATTTTAGAGGGAAAAAATCGGAAGCTGTGATTTGTATGGCAAGTATTGCAGTACACACTGAAAGGTTCAGGCATTACGCTGGCCTGCCCTGTTACCTGGCAGAACGCACTCAGGCAGCACTCTGGTCAGCCCAGGGTTCCATGAGTACAGCCTGCATGCTGGTGCAAAGGACCCCTTTAGAAGACAGCCCCCCCTTACACTCTCTTACCTCTTATCTCTCTCCACTCTCTTAATTCTCTTTCTACCCCCTTCTTCTCGTTTCTCATGTCTGTCTCCCCTCTCTTTCTCTCCCGCCG